TGACGGCGCCTTGTCTCTGCACTCATGACCCCCCAGGTCTCGGCCTCCTCCGGTGGCAGCTGCGTGGGTCCTCGCTCTGCTGGGGCCCAGGTGCCTCTGACACCTCCCCTCCCCTCCCCTCCCCTTCCCCCAGACACCAGGCCCATTCCTCCGTCCCTGCTGGGCTGGGGAAGGGCCATGGTGGGTGCGCTCCCTTCCCCGCAGCCTGCCCAGCCCTCAAGGTCTGTGCCTTCAGCTCCAAATCTGGCACCTGCAGGTCTGCTGGGGCTGGCATGGTGCTCCCAGCCGCTGTGCCGTGGGGCTGACCACTGCCCCCGACATGCCTGGCAGCTCAGGGTCGTGTTGGGACCCCACCTGCTGTCACGCCCCTCCCCGGGTGCTCATGGGGCCTTTCTGCCTCATAGTTTCATAGTTGGTCGGGTCGGAGGAGACCTGAGCAGATCATCAAGTCCGACCCCCTGCCATGGCAGGAAGGAGTACGGGGGTCAAACGACCCTGGCAAGGTGCTTGTCAAGCCTTGTCTTAAAGACCCCCAGGGTAGGAGCCAGCACCACTTCTCTTGGAAGTTGGTTCCAGATCCTAGCCGCCCTGACTGTGAAGTCGCGCCTTCTGCTGTCTAGCCTGAATCTCCCCTCTGCCAGCTTGTGACCTCTGTCCAGATAAACCACTTCGCTTAGCCTCCTCCCCCGCCCCCTGCGGGGCTCAGCCCTGGGCTGGGGGGTCCCCAGGCCGGAGCAGTGCTGGGGCATGCAGCCCGCTGTCCCCTCAGCCATGGCAGGGCCCTGCTGTCACGTTCTTCCAGCCGCGGCCCCCCACAGACAAGACATTTCCTACAGTTTTCTAAATAAAGCTTTGACATTCCAGGCCTGGGTTTCTGCCTCTCCCAGCCTGTAGCAGGGCTGCATGTAGGGGTCCCTGCCCTGGCCCGTGCCCCCCGGGATGCAGATGCTCATGGTGGAGGCTGGTGCAGCCCCTCCTGCCAGGGGCTGGGGCAAGGGGTAGCACTTGCAGCAAGCAGGGCTGAGGGGAGAGCAAGCCTTCCTGTGCCAGCATCACCCTCCTGCCCTACGCAGGGTCAGGGCCCTCCATCGACTGTTTTACCCCTGCTCAGGGGTGCCGAGCAGGGCCACACTGAGGCAGGGGACAGGTGAGTGCACAGCACAGGCTTTATTAAGTTTTCACAAGGAAGCACTTCTCAGGGTCATGGTCATTGGGGCTGCTCTGCCTTCTCCCCACCCATCTTCATGCAGGTGCAGCCCCTGGGGTGGGTGGGAAGCTTTGTGCCCAGGAGTA